TGGGTTCCTGACTCAGCTGCCTTTCTTCTGAGCCACAGCCACTAGCCTAGTCCCAAGTAACAAATGCACACCAACTACAAGTGGCAGGTCTGCAACTTCAGTGATGAGCTATAGATCCATGTGTTAGCGTAAGCTACCTCAGGGACTAGTTGACTGCTGCTGCAGAGCTATAGTCAATAGGATGCTAATTATTATGTTTGGCTGGGAAAGACAGGTGTGAGGAACTGCGTCTAAGCGATTCTAGTATAAGCCAGCTGCAACTAGGTAGGTGAAGCAGTGAGAATCAATTTGAACTGTAGTAGAGTAACCCTCAGTCAGGCTCTCTAACTCTAACTGACTGCTGAATAACACAGGCCTGTGGCAGTAACTTTCTCACTGAATTAGAGTCTACTGAGTTCATCTTAGTGCAAAATGTGTGCTACAGCTAGATATATTTATAGCTGGTGGATAAGGACTCTTAGCATGACACTAACATCTATTTGGTTAGGAGCCACTTGACAGGTTTAGCTTTCCTGAAAAGCGTGTACAAAGAAAAATGGAGTAACCCAGGGAAAAATTTATTTCTAAATGTCTGTTATTCTTTTCTTTCTACCTCAATTTTCATTTTCCTTCTCCAAAGATTTTGAAAAAAGCATTTGGGGCTTAAAGGTGAAATTCTCCCTGTTTAGTTTTATGCCATCTCTCTGACACTTGTAAAAAGTAGCTCTAGAGCCTTTGTTGCTGCTACCTCTCAGAGAGCTACACTTGATCGATCGGTAACAGAAATGTGTTTATTCACAGAGCTTTGGAAAAAAGGGACAGAGAACAGACAAATAAGCGAATGGGGAAGAAGAAAGTAAAGAAAGGTCGGAGGAGAGCAAAATGGGGAAACACAGTGAAAGCAGTAATGAATATGCTCACTGGTAGGAGAATAGGATGCTAACAAACATTTCTGCTTCTGTTCACAGAACCATTGCGGAAGCTGGCCGTGTGCCAAGTATGTCTTTGGTTATGTGGCTTAAACAAGCAGCTTCCCTTGGGATCTGAGGGGCAGTAATTTCTGCAGATGGTCTTCAACGGCTGAAGGTAGTCTCTCTGAATGGGAGTCCCTCTTTTTTTCCTCTCTCCTCCCTTTTTTTCTGTTCCCTCCTTCCCCCTGGTTTATAGCTGTCTGTAGGGTGAAACCATATACCCAGAGCATCCTCCAGAAAGTTATTCCAAAGGTATACTACCAGTTGGTGAAGAACCACTTCCTTTCAGGTGGTTTGACCCTGCATCTTACCAGCTTCTTGTGACGACTTCTAATTCTTGTACTGAAAGAGTCAGTGAACAGTAAATCCTCATCCACTGTCTTTATGCCTTTCCTGACTTTGTAGATCACCAAATCTGTCCCCACTCCTCATTCAGGAAGGATATGCATTCATGGCCTTCTGCTTTAAGTAAACAGTAACAATGGCACAGCCCAGCCAGCAGTGGTCAAGAATTGCGCAACCCAAATATCCCCTCTGATTTGCCTTCTAGTTCCCATGAGCAAGTGAACAAGCTAGGATTTCATTCTGGCTTTTCACTTAGTCTCCCACCGCCTTGTCCCCTTTTTGCTTTCAAATAGTCATGTAGGGTAGAGTATATATACAGGCCTCTAGTAAGGAAGCAATAGTCAGCCTTGAGCCTATTACAGAAGACAGGACATCTTAATTTCAGATAGCCAAATGTATATTCCCTTGCCATTTAACCGATGTTTGATTGTGTAGATTAAGACTGTGAACTACTTTATGGACTAGTGTCATCAGAGGTTAGGCGGCCTTGTCAAACAGTAACGACAGTATTTCACCAGTAACCTTGATGAATTAACTAGACGGCTTTCAGCCTGCTTGTGTGGAGAAATGTAGGTGTTCTGCACGTTTACTAGATTAGCCAGCAGCTAGAGTGATGAAAAGTCCCATGTGGTCAAAAAATGGCCTGCAAACTGCAAAGGGAGAAATATTCCTTCATGTTAACACAGAACATGGAGAAACTGGGTGGAAACAGATCTGTCTGTTAACGGCCCTTGCGTGGAAACCCCATGTGAGTAAAAAAGTGCTAGATCTTCATGTGGTAACACCTCTGGGTGGCATGGAAACCTTTCAACAAGTGATCGTTGCCTCCTGGATCCCCTCCTGACTTTTGCTTCCCTGCTCCCAATGGTCTGAAAATGGATGAAGAAAGAGGAGGTTACTGGCTTGCAGTAACAAAGACGATGCTTTTAGGCTGCAGTTTCACGCTGCTAAAAATGAACTAACAGCTGTTTCTTAATAGGGTGCTGCTGCTCCTTCCTCTCTTCTCTGTGCCAGCACTTGTTTTGATCCCACTGCAAGCTGATTTTCAGGGAGTCAAAGCAACAAATCTGCTTGCTGCCTTTTTCAGAGCTAGTTTTCACTTGTTTACCTCTGTGAACTGGCTCTCTCTCCAGTCAGAAGAGATGCAGTGTTGGCAGGATCAGGACTGCCTGCCTGTTCCGGTGTTACCTGTTAGAACGGTGTAGCTCGTTGTGAAATCACTGCTGTTACATTTTAGATGGCACACCGGAACGTATCTTTCTCATCAGGTAAGGGTTATGATCCACGTGGATTATCACAAGCGTTGTCTTTTATTGCCAGAATTCTTTCTTCTGCTACACATTCTCCTATGTGTGAATCATCTTTCCTTTTCTCACAGAGCCAGATGTCACACAAAACGCAAGTATATATCTTTGTAATCAAAGAGAAAAGCTAGTGATACTGCTAGCTGTCCATGCTATATACCTCTAGCTACACATCTTTGTCACCATTAACTCTGCATATAGCAGAAATAACATTCCCAGTTTTGGTATGCTGCATACCGTTGCAGTTTGAGGAACAGAAAGGGGAGAGAGGTGCTCATATAATGCTATGAGGTTGGAGGCATCCCGTGCAGCATTATTCCAAGAAAACTGATTTCACGTCAATGACTAAGCTTGAAAAACAGAAGGCCATCCCCATAGAACTGCTTACTAACAGACACACAATGTAACAGCGATAGCATCTTACAGTCTGTTACAGGAATAAGTGGAAGGCAGGACTCAAAACCGCATGGGATTTCAGGCGACATTTCAGGAGAATATTAGCAAAAGAATCATACTGTCCTCTGGCCAACCTGACATAACTATAATTGTAAGCTAACTTGCATGTGTTAAGCCAAGGGATGCAGCAGTGCACGAACCTGGCAGTGAAAAGCATAGAACTGCATCCTCAGTCTGTATTAGAAAATTATTGGATATATGTTCAAGTTCCTGGTATCCTCTGCATTTGTAATACCCTTTGGGACAATCTGTTGCTTTTACTGCAATCATCTTGAAACCAAGCTGAGACAGAACTCTGCACCGTTATGTAAAACAGAAATTAAACGCAACTCTTTACTATTATGTACTTGATTCCAAATAGGAAAACAAATAGATCAGGTGCTGTTTGTGTAATTTTTTCCTCTCTTATTCCTTGCTCTTCAGGGGCAAGAGAGAAATGTCTCTTCCCGCAAGACTCAGCTCGTTCTTGCGCCTGCCTGGAATACAAGTGCAATGCAATTCTTCAACTGTTAGGCATTATACAAAATTACGAGCATGAAGGTTGCGTTTAGCACATCACCTGAGCCTTAGTTACAGTCTTGTGCTCCGTAACATCACGAGAACACAGGTTCGTTTGTGCTTTTGCTGCATTCTCAAAATGGCTTCCAGATGAAGTAGCTCGATTCAGTTTTTATATTCCAGAGTAGTATTAGCACCATTGCCCATTTTCTTCACATACCAGCAGCTTCAGTGTACACGTAGCTGTTAGCTAGCCTAGGCTCGACGTCTCCAGTAGCCAAGCTGCAGTCTTGCCCTCCCTGCATGGGGAGGGGGCTCTGGGGAAGGCTGGGTTACAGAGGGAGCGATAGCAAGGGGGCTGCGGCCTAGGCTGCCCCCAGGCCTCCTCCGCAGGCGGGAAAACGCCGCCAGCCTCTTGCACCGATGAAGTGCGGGGAGCGCCGGGGCCGGGCCCGACGGCACCCCACAGGCCTGCCGGGAGCCCGAAGCAGCCGCCAAGCCCC